AGAGTTAAAGCAGAGTTCTGATAGAATGCCATCCGATCTTCACCGCTTGATAAGATAACAGAACGGGACGCGTTTCCACTTTCGGTTATCTGCCGTGCTCTCGTCCTAATGGCACACCTAAAGCAATTACAACGAGTAATTTATTCAAATCGACGCGTTTCTAGCTTTCGGTTCCAGACCTGGCCGTTTTTCTCTACCGGAGAATTGGAGGAAGCGATCTCTCGCAGCAGCGTGGTACTAGAGATCAAACGGAGGAATTATTTATCGTTCGAGAGAAGCGCGAGAGAAACGAATTCATGGTCGTGCACTATCGGAGAAAGAGAAAGAGATAGAGAGGAATGGATCTGTCATCGAGGTCACGTGAAAATCTCGAGCCAATTGTTACTCGTAAAAAGAACGAGCGATCAAAGATCTGACGGCGTCAGACGGTGAGCGCTGAACGACTGGCAGTGAAAATACGGAAACTGTATCTCGAGGATCCCCTCCTCGATTTCGATTCGCGTGGCCGTCTTTATTGAGCATGAAAGAAGCGTAGACGACAGCATATTTCCGAACGGTGGCCGATTCAAAGAAACTCGCGCAGGAAGAGAATATATTACCTTTCGCGTTGTTCCCTGTCGGATTGACTTCCGTCACGACGACAACTACGGCGACGGCCAGGATGTAGAATGCATTCTTAGAAAATGCAATAATCCGACGGCGACGTGTGTACAGCGTGTTTCAAGGAAAGGTATTTTCTCTGCTCGTGCCACTATCTGTGATTTCGCAGTAGTACGAGTCGAGGATAAATCAATCGTTCGTTCGTGCTTGTTTCTAGACAGTGACAAAGAAATTATTGAATTGGTCAGAAATGTTTCTGGTGTATCGCGTGGACGTTTGTACGGTATGTACATCTGAAAGTGTAATTGCAAACTCAGCGTGCAATCTGATACTTGATCGTTCAAGCTTGTATCAGAAAAAGGAAATATCAACGATCTCGTCACGTTAACAATTTAAAGTTCGTTTTTTACAAAGTGGAAGATCAAAGAGAAACGTTTTTGTCGTGTACTTTGCTGCTACTACTTTCGAGAAATTTTCAAACTACTGTCAAACTAATGAATTGCTTTAGGTTTAGGTTTAGATTTGAATTTAGGTTAGGTTTCGATTGGCTCGGCTAATTTTGAAGCGCTCTGTAGAGCAGCCTGGCGGGAAATTCGCGCGAGTATACTCGGATGCATCGTGATTATTTGCATACGATTGCGCTGTCTCGCGGCGCGCAACAGCTACTTTCCATTACACGTCCTCGCGATTGTTATCGACATATTCCGATACTATCGCCAAGACTTACGGCGCATTATGTCGCCGTTTGCTGAAACGCTCGTACATTCGGGCAACAAATTGAGCTTGTTTACACGGCTCTCTCTCTCTCTCTCTCTCTCTCTCTCTCTCTCTCTCTCTCTCTCTCTCGAATGGCTCGAACCTCTTCTAAGAAACGATTTCATTTCCGGCACAATCATCCCCTTCCCCTTTTGGCGTACGATTTTATATCAATTTGTACTTTATTGATTCGACAAACCTACAAAACTCTCTTTTTCTATATATAGGATGGTCCATTTAATTAAGTGATAGCTACCTAAATGTCTTTTCGAATTGTAATAACGCGAGGAATATTTTTCGCCTAACTAATATATGCCATCGAGAGGCTAATGATTGGTAAGAATGTCCGTTCTTTCAAGGTCACTTCTTTTTTAGAGCTTTCAAAGTTATTTTCTTTCACACAACTGTGAGAGTTTAGATACGTAAAGAACGTACATTTAAAAATTGAAGTTATTTTTATTGATATCAGAGTATGTATGAAAATTTGTTCCATCATTCAAAGAGCGTAACATTACATGTTGCACGTTTGTTGCACCTAGAGCATTTCGCGAGGAAATCTGAACGTGAATGCATCGTGGACCGATTTGTCTTTGTTCTCGAGACGAATCGAGCGAAGTGATATGAACCGAAAGTAGTCAGACACGTTAAAGCTACTCTCTTTATACATGTTATAATATTTACGTACGAATGCGAATTACGAGATATATGTTAAATATTAACACCGAGTCGACTGTACGAAATTTTGAACATTTTTCTTCCGTAATGTCGTTTAAACATGTCGCTCGTAATTTATAGCAATATCTAGAAAAATTTTGACTAATATTTGCACGGTAAAATTTTGTACAAAAGTTCGCGTTATCTGTCTGTATTTTTAACCGTGTAAATGTAAAAATATTTTGTTACGCAAAACTCGAATATCTCTCCAGTTATTCGACACACGAAATGGCGAAACTTTCCTCATTTTTTTTTTTTTTTTTTTTTTTTTGGTTGAACGAAAGAAATGAAATATAAAGGCGAAAGGAATTTTAAAAATGTCTTACTTGGTACGAATAAAATTTATTGTACACAGTGTTCTCGACGATTTTTCGTAAATAAAATGTTAAAGCTGAAATAAAGTGGTTCTGAGTTCGCGTGAATGCAAAGGTGTTTTTAAAAAAGGATAATTTCTCAAAGGTACGTAACTTGGATTGACGAAAGAATCAATCTCGCATGTCTGAATGTTTCGATGTGTTTCGATGTATTTTGTAAATCATTGTAATCGTGAAATTTGAAGGAAATATCTGAGAAATGTCAAATTTGGAAAAAAGTCAGGTTTTCGGAAAATTGGAAGCTTACGGTGTGACGTAGATTTCACCGAATTCGGCTGCTTTTATCACAAAAACTACTGAAATCATTCCATTTTCTCGAAATTTTATGTAGATTCTGACGACGAAAAAAATGCGGATCTTGACGAAAAAATTGCAGAATGATAGTTTAAAAAGTCATAAAATTTTCTGGATTTAGATCTACGTAATTTTCTTGGAAACAAAAAAAAAAAAAAAAAAAGCTAAAAGTAGATGAAAATATTTTTTCATTAGACAGTATATCGTCCATTTTCTTTTATCGCCTTTTGCCATCTTTCAGGCAATTTTATCGCGTTCAAAAATGTTTCTATCTTTTTCAACAAAAGAACGATTTGACATCCTCCATCAGTAGAGATTTGGCAAGTCAATTCTAACTCTTAGCCGTCGTTTGAAAGTTAATTCACCAATATTAATCGTCAGATAATTTTTTGCGAAACACAACGAAAACGTTCCTTTATAATTTCCCTAATTCAAAATCGACGTGGAGCAAACAATCGTCAACGAGTGCGTTTTCCTTTTCCGAAACAAGTTCTAAACAGTTAGCTACCAGTTTGCACGATGAATTTGGCGGTTACAAAATAAAGTTAGAAAAAAAAAAAAAACAAAAAGAAATCTATCAGAAACAAAAAAATACAATCACTATACTCGTCCTACCCATAAACTCGCGAGTAGTTCAGTTTCATCGCTAGTTCCTGGAACCTTTCGTTTTCATCGTAGATCTCTTATCTCGGTGAGACTTACCACTTTCACAATCAGAATAATTCCGTCGGAATAATTCACCATCGAATTCTCATTAACGTCGGCCCGATTTAACATAACGGATCAAACGTCGATGATGTTTTGCCCCTGAACGACAAGAACACGCTACTAACGTTTTTTCCGTAGCGGTAGGTATCAGTCGCATGATCTCGAGGTTCGATTTGTCTCCATTTCGGGGACAATTCCGGATGTGTCGTCGGGTGAGAAGAAGCTCGTTGGCCCGTTGTCCTCGCGAAGCAAGAAGCGAACCGTTCGTGAGGCACCGAACGTTAGAAAGGAGGTGCTCAAAGGGCAGGAGATTGAAGTGTCTCGCAAACGGAAGATCCGGTCGATCTTTGTGCAACGCGAGAAGCAGGATTGTCGCTTTTGTTGTCGACGATCGTGTGAACACGTTTCGCGCGAAACTCTGCATCGAAGTGTCCTTTGAGAGTGTATTACACCGAGGACTTTTTTGGGGGAGGGGGGAGGTTCGCCCCCCCCAAAAAACCGGGTGCAATCTCGTTCCATCGAACTGAATTGGCCGAGTGTGACGTTTGTCTGCATCCTGTTGCCTTGTATTGTCAGGTTTGTTTGAAAATAAGAAATTCCAAAGTGACTTCTCTGAGAGAAAGAATTTCAATACAATGGATTCTGGATATTTCAATATAGTGATCTACTGTCGCAACCCACGACAGAGAATTTGTCAGGCTTAACGAAATTTCGTGAGCCAAAACGCTATGAAAACGTAATGCAAACGGGTAGATAAAACAGGAACGCGGAGGAACGTAATAACACTCCGTCGTATAAACGGATACGAGTTCTGTTAAAACAAAGATAGAAGCCAAAAGCCTCTTTCAACCCGAGCCTGAAACTTAATCCTGTTTGCCAAAATGGCGGAATATCGGGAACTCTCGATTAAAGCGCGCATATAATTACATACTGTTGATGTTCGCGACTCGCGGTCGACTTCCGCGAATCATTACACACTTGCTTGTACTCTAATTAGTTTGCGTAATTCGGTACGTAAATACCACAACGACGTGCCAATTTCGAACGACTTCCGATAATTTCGAACCACATTGGAAGTAAGCATACATTCGAGTAGCGTAGTGTACAGGATGGAAAGTAAAGTTTCTCCGTAATTATCGTAGATGAATTCTACATCTTTAATTTAATGGAAATACATGTAAAGAGCCTTCACCTTGAATTTCAAAAAATTTTTTGAAATTTTGCATTGTATTCTACTTATCGCGAAGGTGAAACCATTCCTTTCCAAGGAATCTAATAGTTCTCTTGAAAATTGACGGAAAAAGTCACACTGTGAGTTCTAACAGCGACTTTACGGGATTAGATTTCACTAACATTCGATTTATCATAGCTGTGGCACCAGTGTGACTCTAAATAATGAGATAATAAAAACAACTGTTGACAGTCTTTGAATATACAATGGATATAATATACCTGTAACGGTCCAGAATCATAAAGTCGCTGTTAGAACCCAGAAATTTTTTTACCATTTTTCAAAATTCAACGTCAAGATCAATTTTATGACAGATTTATACGTATTTCCATCAAATCGAACGTGTAGAATTCATTTATGATAGCCACGAACAAACTTTTCTTTCCACTCTGTACATTTGCTCTAGCAGGCTGTCATTATCGCGTTCTGCGACAACGTAGTTCCACGAATATTCGGTTAAACAATTTCGACATACTTCCACGTCCACTTGCACAATCGTTAAACGGACAGGTTTCTGGGGTATCCGGCATTCAATATTCTGGAAACGTTGCCTCGATGTCCTTTTTCCTCGAGCAAACCTCGAGCCTCTCGCGTTGCCAGAAACTGTTCCCAAGAGCTCTTCGACTCTTTACATTCTCCGCCGCATTTTATACGGAGACTTTTGTCAGTACGCAGATCGAGCCGAAATATCGCCTTGGAACAGAGGTGAAATGCGGTTTCTTTTACAAGTCGAAAGTATCACGTTGCCCTTTATCGAGATCCATTTCGATCTGCCTCTCGACGAAAATCACGATTGATTCTTAAGACACGTTGAATGCCACAATATTGTACGATTTGTCCAAGACGCCAATATGAATTTGTTATGAGGCGATAGATACTATATTGAAATATTATCTGCAAATTTAATGGATACATCTTACTGGCGGTAAAGTTAACGCGTTTCTTCGACTTTCATTTATTTTTTACGATATAGCGAAACTGCGAGCGACACGAGCGATCTTCACAACGAAAACTATGTTATAAAATGACAGGGAAATTTCCAGCGACGATTTTATACGTAGAAGGTGTTATGAAAAGAATTCGAAATAATTAGATAGAACGAAAGCAACAAATTGTGGCAAGAAAGTCGTCACTTTGTTTGCAATGCTGTAATACGATGCATCACAACACGAGCACATACATATTATATATATGAATAAAACTATTTTTGTATGTCCTATACACTGCATTAATTTCTTCACATCATTCTAATAACTAGAAGCTAATACTGAAAAATTTAGAAGTATTAACATTCACTCGAATCATATATTTTTATGCTGCATTAATTCCTTCATCGTCATTGCAACAACGAAGCTAATACTAGAAAAATTTAGAAGCATTAACATTCACTCGAATTAAGTATTTTTACTAATATTTTATACTACATTAATTCCTTCACACCGTAGTAGCAACGAAGCAAATATTGAAAAATTTAGAAGCATTAACATTCACTCGAATTATGTGTTTTCTTACTAATATTTTATACTGCATTAATTCCTTCACACCGTAGTAGCAACGAAGCTAATACTGAAAAATTTTTAAGTATTAACAATCAACTCGAATTGTGTGTTTCTACGAATATTTACCGGTGACCATCATGGCATTCAACGTGTTGAACACTAACGTTACTGGCGCACGGAAGCCTGAAACCACGGTTAGAACGGAGAAACTAGAGAAACAATGGGGTCCTCTTACCGAAAACGCTTTCAGGAACACCAAACACTGTATTATGCCCTCCATCGTGTCTCCGGTTAAGCAAAACGTGCCGGTCAGGTGACGACCCTTACGACCGATCACAGAACAGAGGTTCGCCTGCACGAAGGCGTTCTGCGACCTCGTGGCTGCCGTGAGGGCTGGCTGGTGCGATCCGGAGCTTATCAGTCGCTCCAACGAGTCCATCTCTCCTCGATCTTCGTAAATCCTGTCTCTCGTGTCTTCTTCTGCCTTCTTCAACCGGTGCTGGTTAACGAGCACCCTTCTCTTGCCAATCTCCTTCCTCTCTTCAAACTCTAATCAACGGACTATCTATCTTTCGACTCGATTATTCCGCACTCAGACCAGTACACGGGGCTAATCTTCGGTTATTTTCCGAGTGCAGGATCAACGGATCCATCCGTTAACAAACACAATTATCTACGGTGAAAAACTCTTTCGATCAACGTTCGAAGTTTTTCAAGCTACACGCGGGACGAGATCCAGCAAACGTAGAACACTGTGTCATTTCCACGCGAAATTCTGGCCGATTGGACTTTCGCGAGTCGTCGACGTTCGCGCTGCATCTTCCTGGAAATCTTCGTGTCTGTCCCAGCAGTGAGACACTGAAGCGAGTTGCCTCTTCGAGAGCCGATCCCTCCTGAAGTTACGATCGAGGTTCTTTCGCCTTTCACCACGAGGAAACCGGGACTTCCCGTGGTACGTGCCAATTTTTGTCAGTTCGAGGTGCACTCGCACAGAGAGGATTCGCGTTGTCCACGAGGCTTCGACGTTACACTCGACTCCGCGCGAGCACGCATCTTCCTGCCACCACCGAACTCGCACCAAGTCCCGATTCCTTCGAGCAGCGGCAAAAGTGAAAAGTGGTTGTCCCCGTCGATCGAATCTCTCGATCCTCGTCCGTTCACGATCCTTCTTCTATCGATTGGCCATGGAATGCGTTCCGTCGTGACCAAACATGTTCGTCAGAATCTTCGAGCTTGCCTCTTCTCTTTATCCAAAGCCTTTCGAAATAACTCTCTAACTCCAAGTTAGACTCCGGGATCGGCAACGTCGTTGGCGTTTCTTGGATATCACTCCGACGATTTCCATTCGTTCGTCCCAAAGCCCTGCTGCTCCCTCCAAGAGTCGCGCGCGAGAACGAGAAGCTCAATCGAAAGGGAGAGCGGATTAATCCCGGGCAACTTACTGCGGGCAACAAGCCGGGCGATTCTGCATCCTGTGGGAGATGGAGAAGACACGTTGCGGGGGCGGTGCTGCGGAGGTTTGAAACGAGCGGCGCGGCTCGGCTGTTTGCGGTGTAGCGTAACGTCTGATCAGATCGCACATCTCATAGCACAGGAAGCAGATACCTATTATCATGAACGTTTCCATCGTATCGATTACCGTTCCCTCCGAGACGCGGAACAGATTAGTCCACCGGGGAATGGAGACAACGCCGTTGTCTCATCCGCTTCAACGTTCTATCCGCCTACGCCTGTTCTGTTCAACACCCTTCGGTTACCTGTTCCTGTTCAACACACACTCACACACGCACGCACGCACACACGCACACACACACTCTCTCACCCCTATTATCAATCGATTTATGAGCCGTGACACCGACGCAACACCGAACCGTGCACTCGCGACCTTTCCTTGCCGCACAGTGTGACAACACTTGCTTCAGTACGTCCTCGTCGTAAAAAACGTAATCGATACGAGTCCCCCCTTTTGGTGTATAATAATCGCGTTAATAATCACGAAACTGTTGGAAACACGGTCAGACTATCGTCAGAGGCAGCAACGTCTCGCATGTGTCGCACAGTGGTAGCTGAACGTGGAACGGGGGTTGAACGAGGTGTCAGCAGCACTCTTCGTGCACCCTCGACTCTCTCAACTCGGGCGCGTGCACTCGGAAAATCGAGGACAGGCCGCAGGAGCAACTGCAGGGATCTCTCTCCTCAGCGTCGGCCGACGACGACGACGACGACGACAACGACGAGGGACGAGGGTGACCAGGTGACGTTCGCGTGTTCTCCACGTCACGCGCGAGCTCGTCTCGCCCGTGTGAACAGTCGAGAGGGAGGCAGGTAGGGGCGGCGAGGAGGGTGCAGGAGCAAAACACGGACCATGTGGGCGAGTGCGGCTCGAGGATGATTCTTTGGTGTGCCGCTGCGCCGATGGCACTCGCCTCCCTCGTCGTCCTCGCTTCCCTCCGTTGGTGCTCGAGTGCTCCCAGCCACTCGCGTCTCTCTATACCCGCGGATACGCGGATCCAGCACGGCCGACCCTGCCGGACTACCGCCGGCCGTCCGCGCCAGCCTCGGCTGGACGCCTCCGCGCACAGTCGACCCTCGACCACCGTTCCCTTCGCACCGCCCAGCGAGCAGGCGAGCACGAGCGTACGGGCTCGTTGTTTCCCTGATTCTTTCGACACGCGAAGTCGACGATGAAAATATGCCGACGAGGGCGCAGCGCGGCTGAACTGGGTCAGCGCGACTCGCACGCAGTGTTGTGCAACGACGCAACGACGCGGCGAGCGTGTGCACTGGGCGAACGAAGCGAAGAAAGCGAGCGAGCGAGCGAGCGAGCGAGCGAACGAACGAACGAGAGAACCCCACGGTATATCGGCGGGCTCGCAACGGGCCAGCGTATGACTAGCAGATACTCTCGGCGTGAGGGTGCGCCTTTGCGAGGGTGGGCGGGTGGGAACGAGGGATGCTGGGCGACGGCGCGGCCCGCGGCGCCACCCCCGCCCCCTCTGTGTGCTCGCAAAATCCACCGACCCTCCCTATCTATCTATCTATCTATCCTTCCCTCCCTCCACTACTTTCTTCTTCGTCCCTCTCTCTTGAATTTCCACCTGTCCCACTCTCCACACCCTCCCCTCGTACGTCCATCTCTCCCGTTTTCTCTCTGTCTCTCCCCTCGGAGCACCGTGACTGGAAGCAGCGACGGTAGCATACCGGTCTTATTCTTCTTCTTCGTCTTCTCTTCTCCTCTTCTCTCTTCTCTTCTCTTCTCTTCTCTTCTCTTCTCTTCTCTTCTCTTCTCTTCTCGTCCCCCGTTTTGCCATTCCGCAAGGGGTGCACGCTCGCGGATGGATGCCACGCTCGATCTACTACGGCGAGACGTTCGATGCTCTCGCGGAGGGGAATTAATATCGTCGGGTCGACGCGACGTTGAAGGCTGCCACGTAATGATGTTTGGCTACGCGATTGCGTAACCGAACTCTCGGAACGATGCTCCCGCGACAGAATTGTTATCGAGATGCATCATATTGAACCTGAACCCTTCGAGAAAGAATAATTAGATCCACGGAAGTGATCTGCGTTCGCAACGATTTTTAGTATCGTATGTGATTGAACTTGGCCCAATTCTGGCACTCTGTAACTCTTATAATCTATAAACTATAATAATAACAAACCTAATAAACTATAATACAACCTGTTCAATTATATTATAAAAGTCAACCATTGAAAACCTAATAACCTAATAAGGATTTATAACTGAGCCCAATTCTGGCACTCTGTAACTTTCACAACATAACCTGTAAACTACAATAATAACGAACCTAATGAACTATAAAATAGACTGTTTGATTATATTATTAAAAAAAAAAAAACAACCATTGAAAACCTAATAACCTAATAAGTACTTATAACTGAGCCCAATTCTGGCACTCTGTAACTTTTATAACATAACCTATAAACTACAATAATAACAAACCTAATAAACCATAATATAACCTGCTTGATTATATTGTAAAAAAGAAGAAACCATTGAAAACCTAATAACCTAATAAGGACTTATAACCGAGCCTAATTTTGGCATTCTGTAACTTTCATGACATAACCTATAAACTACAATAATAACAAACCTAATAAACTATAAAATAGCCTGTTTGATTATATTATTTAAAAAAAACAACCATTGAAATAAAGATTTACAACTGAGCCCAATTCTGGCACTCTGTAGCTTTCATAACAGAACCTATAAACTACAATAATAACAAACCTAATAAACCATAATATAACTTGCTTGGTTATATTATTAAAAAAAAGAAACCATTGAAAACCTAATAATCTAATAAGGACTTATAACTGAGCCTAATTCTGGCACTCTGTAACTTTCATAACATAACCTATAAACTACAATAATAACAAACCTAATAAAGTATAAAATAGCCTGTTTGATTATATTATTTAAAAAAAACAACCATTGAAATAAGGATTTATAACTGAGCCCAATTCTGGCACTCTGTAACTTTCATAACAGAACCCATAAACTACAATAATAACAAACCTAATAAACCATAATATAACTTGCTTGGTTATATTATTAAAAAAAAGAAACCATTGAAAACCTAATAATCTAATAAGGACTTATAACTGAGCCTAATTCTGGCACTCTGTAGCTTTCATAACATAACCTATAAACTACAATAATAACAAACCTAATAAACTATAAAATAGCCTGTTTGATTATATTATTTAAAAAAAACAACCATTGAAATAAGGATTTATAACTGAGCCTAATTCTGGCACTCTGTAACTTTCATAACAGAACCTATAAACTACAATAATAACAAACCTAATAAACTATAATACAGCCTGTTTGATTATAGTATAAAAAAACAACCATTGAAATCCGTAGATCCGAGTGAATACGTAACGAGACGGAACGATCGCAAGCCGACGCTCGATATAGATCGAGGAATAAAAGTGTTCCGGGGACAGTCTGTTTTCCCACGAAATATGAAATACCGTGGAGCGTGTTTTGTATACGTGCTTGCGCATGATTGATCACGATCTCGATGCGGCGTTCAACTGTTCCTGCTGACGCACACTATACACTTTTTACATTCACCGCGATCCCTGACGACTGAACGCGATCTTGCTGACGCTGGTATTGACTACGCTATTTGACAGAAAATATACCTCGTGACTGCTTCTCTACTGTTCTCACATATGATGTGAGTTTCTTTCCACCGATACGATATAATATCATTACGCGACATGTTACTTTCGCGATATTTGTGACTTTTTTCTTTCTCTCTTTCTCTCTCTCTCTCTCTCTCTTCGCAATTCAGATACACTCGATCTCACACCAATTTCATCGGTATTCAGCATTCAAGACACTACTTTCTAGTGGGCGACCAATCCCCCCTCCTATTCATCCGCGACTAACTGCATTCTTGTTGATTGAATGCATTCTTGATTAATAACTGTACACGTTCCGCTAGAATCTCGCTACATTCTTTCCAACTATGCCTGCTGACAACTGACAGTAATCTTGTCGACGCTGCGCGTTTCATCCTCTACTACGCACGTTTCATTACCGGTTCCCTCGAAACTTCATTATCGTCGTTTTCACGTGACGTTCGAGGAACTTTTCGAAACCACTATGATCGTGATATTTTCTCTATATAATGAGTATTTAAAACTCGCTGTATTTTCTTTCAATCATTTTATTGAACTTGGAACATTAGGATTAAATTTCTTGAATTTTTCTAATTCAATGTTCAATAAACTGATACAGCATGATGGGAGAAAATCGTACAGCATGTGTTAAGGGGTTGTTGTAAAGGAGAGACTTCGATCTTTAAAATGATAGTGAATCTAGTTACAAGAAAAAAATTTATTTAACGTTTCTACACGTTTCGGTTTTTAGAATTGTCAAGGAAAAGGTATCCCAACTTTCGCACCGCCAGACGATTGTAAAAAAAGAAGAAAAGTGAACTTACGAATGTGAAATTAGAAGCTTCACGTTTTAAAATGAGACCAACTGGATCATTTTTGTTTACAAAGTTACATCAATTTAAATTATTGGTAATACGGATAATTATGTTAATGATAATATCGGATGCTATAGAAAGATAATACAAACGATTGTTTAAGCGCAATATTTGATATACCTCCATTACGATTGATTTATCATTGTTCACTCATCGTATCATTCGCAGAGACATCGTTGTAACATACTTTTTTAAAACAAAGAGGAGATAATTTATTTATCACTTTAACCTCTTCTCAGTATTTTTGGATAGGCATTTCTAATTGTAACATCATTTTAAATACAAAATATTGAAACGTTATTTACAACGTTCAAAGAAATTATATCTAAACTTCGAATAGAAATTTTCACAGAATTCGCAGTTTGTTTTCTCTTTCGAAAATTGAAATCACAGCACGCAACACGATTGTTAATAAAGACAAGGGATTTAATACAAAATAAAATTTATCGTTACAAAAGTTTTTTTTTTTTTAATCTGAGATTTGTGTCGAAACACTCGCGACAGAATAAAAAATTATCTTTCCTTCTCACGGAACGAATGGATTTCGAGGAATGACGCGACAGCCAAAAACCTTCACTAACTGGTTTTCGAGGATAAAGGACTTTGTAAATGCGGAATTACATATTCGCGAGCGGGCGAATTGCGAATCAGAGGCAGCCACGAATCAACCACGCAGAAAATGCAGCTTTTGTAATTGTTAATCCTGCTGGCAAGAGCGCGGCTGGTGTAGAAAAAAATTTTTTATACAGCGAGAATGCGAAGATCAAACGACAATTTACGGGAACGAGAAAGTATTTTCTGCCAGGCTTGAAAACGAAGAGAGAGGAAGAGGCAAGAAAATTAATATTTAACGCGACATACGAAAGTGTAGTAGAAGTAATGAAGTATTAGTCACGAGCATGGTGTTTCATAAAAAAATATGTAGTGGTCCAATTAACAATATCGAGTCAAGTATTCTCTAAATTTTTCTTGCTTACGGTTAGTATTTAATAGTATACAATTTATTTACTGATTAATAACATACGATGCATAATATATTATTAATTAATGATTTATAATACTCGAATCGAGGATCGAAATTAACATATAATTTTTCGTTTTTTAAAAAATTCTGGTCCACCTCGTACATACTTTGTACAAAAGAATATCTATTTCTGTGAAGTTTCTGTGAACATCTTCGAATAGCTTTCTGATGAAACATATGTCTCAGAATCAGTATAATAAAAGTTCCATGGATCAAGTTATTTCAAAATATTTTTATAATCGAGAACTGTCTGTTGAATAATAATTAATGTCAGTATATACTATAAATGTTGAGAATTTTTACGAATTATTTGTTTTTCTTTGAGAACTCCCCCCCCCCCCCCCCCAAGAAAAAAAAAAAAAAAAAATTCTCACCAGAGAGGCGAAAAATATTTTTTTCAGGATTCGAAACGATATTTAGATGGCCTCACTTAAATGGACCCAACCATATATATATTTGCTATTGCTTCGATCGGTCGGTCCACACCGCCATTCGTTTCTCTCTTTGTGTTCTTTGTCCCGCTCGGGCAACGCTTCATGCTTCTTCGGGAGATCCTTCTGCTTTTCACGCTTATGCCTCCAACTAGACTCTCTTTTTCCCTTTGTCCCCGGGTTCCGTTCTTTTCGCTTCTTAACCATTTTTCTTCTAACCGCCTTTCTCTCTCTTTCTTTCTCTCCCGTCCGTGAACGAGAACGCCGAAACAATTTATCAAAAATCGACGCCACGTTCCCACTCGCTCACGCGTTCCTATGTTCGCCTCCCTGTTACTGTTTTCGTCACTTTGTAACTTTTTAATTGTTTGTTGGATTCGCAACACGATACAATATAAATATATATATATATATAATTTTAAATATATATATATAAATATATAATATATAATATTTAAACAATATAAATATATATATATAATTTTAAATATATAATATATAATATTTATAAATATATGTATAATTTTAAATATATAATATATAATATTTATAAATATATATATATAATTTTAATTTAATTTTTTAATCATTATTATTATTATTTATAAAAATTTATTTTATATTTATATAATACATTAGATGTCTGATAAGAAAATTAATTTTTTAAATTGAGATATAATAATTAAACATTATTTCTAATGATACTTAAATTAATTTAATTATTTAATCTATTAAATCTTTAGTAATAATATAAATAAATTATATATAAATATTTTATCAAAATATATCTTTTTTAGACATATTAATTTCAATTAACATTTTTAATTAACAAAAATAATTATACCTAAGTGACCTGATCTTCAAAGTTTGTAAGATTTCATTTGTTTCAAAGATGTAACAACGTTTTATAGGGAAATGAGCTTTTAATTTAGTGAGTTATTTTTAAATTAACCAACAACAGTGCAGTAGTAAAATAATCAAAGTAACCGAAAACTGTACTTTGGTTAAAATAACGTTAGAAAAAATACAGTAGTAAATTATCGATTAAGTGTCAAATAATGTAATGATAATATGTATAATGAATTATTAAATTCTTTTGAAGAATTATAATTCTTCAAATGTATATATAATTCTTCGGATATATGTATATAGTAAATTATTAAATTTTTTTAAAGAAGTCATAATTATTTTGTCTGTTAGAAATTATTATGGCTATTTGTGATATATTGAAAAATATTTTAAACAACGCCAACTGAGATTTCGAAGGCCCATTGTGAGTTCTCGAAACGATCTGTACTTGAGGG